GACAAGAGGACAAGAAGCTCTGCAGCAGATGGTACAATCCTCTCATCATAGAGTCAGTCTGGGTTAACATGAAGAGACAGAGGACAGTTAGAAAACCTGAATCCACAAAAACAACTCTTCAGGATGTTGAAGAACCACTTCCAGACTCCAAGAAGTTTCAGTCCAAGAAACGATCCAGTGTATTAGCACCTGTAACAGATGCTTTCTTGATACATTCATCATTTTTTGTCTTATTTTTAAAGCTATACTGTAAACTCGAGAGCTGTTTTCCCATTTCCAGTGTTTGCTGTAAGCTGAGAGAACCAGCAACAGGCCGTGTTGTTGTCTTTCCATCCGTGATCATCGTCCATGATTTCTCCTCATACGAACTGACCAACCGCTGCATTAAACCCACTGACAGGTAAACCTTTGGTCTAAGCATCAATGTGGATGTAAGCCTCTGGGGCAACAGCACTCCTCAGGAACCGCTCGAGGAACCCGACCAAGAGTTTCAGTCAGAATTTGATTGAGCTTCCACAAGATGAACAAGCCCAATCCACAAAGACGCCACAACCCAACAGGACCCATTAACCCACAGCAGGACACCTCAAGATCTGGTGTTTATGCCCAGACTGCTCGGAGCTGTTCTGGTGTCACGATGGGCTCCTAACCAACACGAGGAAGGTGGTTTCATACAGGAACACACACAGAAAACTTTTGGGTTGTCTCTAAAATATTGACCAAATGTATTTCTATCATCTTGGATCATGTGGAGAATGACAGAGTTATTGATCAGTGATTCCTGCAGGAGGCCAATTTATCACTAATTTACTAAAAGTCACTCACTTTGACGCAAAGTCCAAAACAAAAAGTGAACTTCCTTGAACAGCTGCTTGCATCTTATTCTTATTAGTTATTTATTTTCATTTATATGAATAATGATAAATTAAGGTCGAATCAAAAAGATCTATATATTTTTTTACATTTTCTTTACCATGAAAAAGTAAAAAAATCAAATAAAACACAATAAAAATCTCCCTCGAAAGCCACAAGCACTTTATGTCTAAATACGTTTATATATGCTGGGAAGAAAGAACACCTAATAATAATAATAATAATAATAATACGACTTGTAAAAATGATTTTCCGCCACTGCAGTGTTCAGCTTCATGACTAAAATGAAAATCAGCGCTGCATTATGGGATACGAGTGAGGAGTTTTAGTTTCTTTCAATCATGAGGGTCATATGCGGAGGGATTGATTTCAAAGCATCACGACGCCAGCTGCTTTTACTTATGATGTTATTCTGCTCCTGTGTGTGGCTGGAATCAGCTGTTTGCAGGGAAAGCTGTGAGTTATAGTAGAACAGCGCCCTCTGCTGGACGTCAGCATCACCTGCATATAGATGCTACAGTCGTCCTCCAATGTATTCATAGCATCCCATTAAAGAAGGGAGAAAAAAAAACAGCTGTCACTGAAATAAGTTGAAATTGACAAAAGTAATAATAAATAAAAATTTAATGAAAAGCATGACATTGTTTTTGAATTGTGGTTCACCAGAAATATCAAAAATAAATAAATAAATAAACAAAAAACAAGCATGATGGGACTCATAAACTAATATTTAGTTGAACAAATAAA